CAAGAAGTCCTGGGCATCCTCTAACTCAGCCCTACTGAATGATGGAGGCTGGAGTCTCCCAAATCTCTCTTGTCTATTCTGATCATCATCACTCATAACGGGACCTACCTAGGTCTGAGCTACTGCAACCAGTTGGGCTGGTAGTACCCCCGGTGTCTGAAGTCCCTGCATCACCTGCTCTAGAGTAAGGGCGGCGGGAGTCTGAGTACCTCCCTCGGCCAGAGAAGTGGTTGGCGCGGTCTGAACAGAAATCGCTTGAGCAAGGCTAGTGCACACAGTCAATATCTGAGCCAAAGCCTCCTGAAGGCCTAGAATCACAATGGGCACAACTGGTGCCCAAGATGGCCCCACTGGCTCAACCACATCTAGTACATGCTCCTAAGCTGGAACAACTGGTGGATCTACAGGTGCTGCTCTAACTACTATACGAGCTGCACCTCGGCCCCTACCGTGACCCAGTCCTCTCGTGGCCCTAGCCGATGGTACTAGTGGTTGTCCGTCTGGTCTGGTAGCATGTGTCCTCACCATTTGTGAGAAAATAGAATAACAGAAGTTTAGTTCCCGGAATCAACAAATTCGCACGTCAAGAATATAAGAATGTGAAGTTTTCCTAAGGGTTCGGCAACCTCTCGAAGATAAGTACGGACATCTCAGTACCGATTCGCAAGACTCTACTAAACCTGCTCATGACTCGTGAGACCTATGTAACCTAGGCTTTGATACTAACTTGTCACGACCTAAAACTCAACATATCGTGATGGTGCCTATCATGGTACTAGGCAAGCCGACTACTCAGATATTTCCAATACTTTCAAATTTAAAATATACTAAAACAAGTTTAGATAAGTAAGAATCTCATAAAAACTGATAAAAACTGTCAGCTCAATACAGGAGTTTCCCAAAATCAGGGTGTCACTGAGTTCATGAGCATCTATACAAATACAAAGTCTGATACTCTGTCTAAGAAAGCAGAAACTGAATAAATAAAACTGAGGGATAAGGGAGGATAGTCAAGGTCTACGGATGCTAGAGCAGCTACCTCGAAAAATCTCTGAATGACTGAACAACTCTGAGAATCAGCAACCACAGTGTCCGGAAACACCTGGATCTGCACACGAAGTGCAGAGTGTAGCATGAGTACAACCAACTCAGTAAGTAACAAGTCTAATTATTGGGCTGAAAGCAGTGACGAGCTTCACATGGTACAATTCAATTACGAAAATACGATACAGAAAGGTAGACATGCTTCCAAATTTAACAGATAAAGCTCAAATAGATAGGATATGCCAAATACAACTGAGATAAGAAATGATGCATCTCGATATCTACATGCCAGTTACGTATGCCAACTGGAGTATAAAACAGTGATGAAATCATAAGCATACTCTCAGAGTATCAATCACTCAATCCTCTCATTCACTCAATCCTTATGGTCACTCATTCCTCACAGTCACTCCATCCTCACGGTCACTCAATCCTCCCAATCGCTCGACAATCGCACTCGCATTAAGTAGGTACCTATGCTCACTGTGGGTGTGCAGACTCTGGAGAGGCGAATCCAGCCCAAGCGTTATAACAAGCCAATCATCGCATGAATTAATAAAACATGTTGCAGCATGTAGCCCGATCCCAAAAATATCCTCACAATCAGGCCCTCGGCCTCACTCAGTCACCATTCTCTCCAGTCTCTCGGGCTCACAAGAATCATGATAATCAGCCCATACAATGATGATATGATGTGTAAATAACTGGCAACTGAGACTGAGATACGATATGCAAATAATAGCTGCGACTGAGTACATAAATTTCAAATTTAAGCAATTAACTCAACGTGTAACTCGACCTCTATAGGTCCCAACAATACCAGCATGTGGCCTAAGCATTATATCTAACATGACTTGCACCTCAATATCTCTAACACATGGAAGATATACAGATAATGGCAAGATTATTCGACTATATAGTTTCACGGAATCGACCAAGTCGCAATTCCTACGGTGCACGCCCACACGCCCGTCACCTAGCATGTGCGTCACGTCAACACCAATCACATAACACGAAATTCGGGGTTTCATACCCTCAGAGCTAAGTTTAGAAGTGTTACTTACCTCAAACCGAGCAAATTTCTACTCCAACAAGCCCTTGCCTCACGAATCGGCCTCTGAATGCCTCAAATCTAGCCACAAACAATTCTATACAATCAACTCAAGCTATAGGAATTAATTCCATAAAAAAATGCTAAGTTTTTAATAAAAAAACAAAAAGGTCAACTCAAACTCAACGCTCGGCCCACGTCTCGGAATCCGATAAAATTTATAAAATCCTAACACCCATTCAACTACGAGTCCAACCATACAAAAATTACTCAAATCCGATACCAAAATCTCGCTCAAATCCCTAAAAATCGGTCTAAGAAGTTTATTCCATTTATTCCCAATGTTTCAACCCAAATCACTAATTAAATGATGAAATCAAAGATATAATCATGGAATTTAACCAAAATTAAGTAAAAATCACTTACCCATTCACTCCCTTAAAAATCTCTCCAAGAATCGCCTCCAACCGAGCTCCCAAAATCAAATTTTGTAAAATGACTCAAACCCTCGTTTTTGAAATATTTAAGTTCTACCTAGATGTCCTTAATCGCGATCACGGAAATTACTTCGTGATCGCGAAGCACAGCTATGGTGCCCCACGAATTAACCTTACGTGAACGCGAAAACCTCCACGCGAACGCGATGCACTGGCTCTCAAACTTACGCGTTCGCTATGAACATATACGCGTGACCCAGCTTCTGCCTCATTTACTCTACGTGAATGCGACCTTAGCCACGCGTTCGCGATTCACTGCTTCACTCAACTACGCGATCGCATCCCTCAATTCGCGAACTCGTAGAATAAAAACCTCAACTGCCGAATTAAGCCTACGCGGTCGCGGGCCTATCCACGTGATCGCGTATAAGGAAACCAGACTTGTGCACCAGAAAAACTTCAGCAATCTCCCAAGTCCAAAATTTGATCTGTTAACCACCCGAAATCCACCCGAAGCCCCCGGGACCCCAACCCAACATACCAACAAGTCCTAAAATATTATACGAACTTGCTCGAAGCGTCAAATCACATCAAATAACGTTAAACCACGAATCGCGCATCAATTCAAGCCTAATGAACTTTTGAACTTCTAACTTCTACATTCGATGCCGAACCTGTCAAATCACGTCCGATTTACCTAAAATTTTGCACACAAGTCATAAATGACACAACGTATGTACTCTAATTCACGGAACCAAAATCCGAGCCCGATAACCATAAACTCAACTCTCGGTCAAACTTCTCAGTTTTCAAAACTTCTAATTTTTTAACTTTCGCCATTTCAAACCTAAATCAACTACGGACCTCCAAATCACTATTCGGACACACTCTTAAGTCCAAAATTTTTCTACGGAGCTATCGGACCCGTCAAAATTCTATTCCGGAGTCATTTATACATAAGTCAATATCTGACCAATCTTTTCAACTTAACCTTCCAACCTTGAGACTAAGTGTCTCATCGCATTCCGAAACATCCCCGGAACCGAATCAACTACTCCGGCAAGTCATATAACAACAATTAAGCATAAAATGAGTAGTAAATGGGGGAATGGGGCTACAATACTTAAAACGACCGGCTAGATCGTTACAGTTATCAAATATAATATTCTAAGGATATTTTTGTAAACCAATATTAGATTCATACTTTTATAATAAAAAGAGAAAAAGGAGATCAAATATTCAAATTAATATGAGATATGGAGTTATTTCAGTTAATATTTTGGGAATATTTTTATCGTTCAACACTATTAATAAAAGGAGATCAAATTATTCAAATTAATATGGTACTTCTCATCGTTGTTGTCCAAACATAAATTGGATTATAGGCATAAATTCAGATGCGAAAAGCGCGGCTTAGGTGGTTTGGTCATGTAAGGAGGAGGAGCACAGACGCCCCGGTGAGGAGGTGTGAGAGGTTGACATTGGAGGGCCTACGGAGAGGTAGAGGTAGGCCAAAGAAGAGGTGGGGCGAGGTGATTAGGCAAGACATGGTGTAGCTTCAACTGACCAAGGACATGACCCTTGATAGGAAGGTATGGAGGTCGAGGATTAGGTTAATAGAGTAGGAAGTCTAGAGTGATTATAATAGTAGTATTGGCACGCAGTCTCGCTTTCTGTCGATAGTAGATTTTTATGACTAACCGTTGTTTTCTTTCATTGTTGATCACCTTACTGTCTTGTTATTTTTATTCTGCTTTTATATGGTTTTTTGGTATTGTTCCTTCTTGTTTATATTTTCATTAATGTAGTGCTTATGCTTTCCTGAGACGAGGGTCTATTGGAAACAGTCTCTCTATCCTCACAAGGTAGAGGTAAGGTCTGCGTACACACTACCCTCTCTAAACCCCACGATATAGGATAATACTGGGTATGTTGTTGTTGTCATAGGCATATGTAATCCAAAAAGAAGTAGGTTTATGTCCAAAACGTAATATGGCCTAACATGTACAGGATTACACATGGGCTAACATGTATTTTTAAACAGTAGCCAAAAAGCAATAATAGGTTTATACTTGGGTTAAGGTACACTATTCCAGTTGTGTCCTTTCACTTTGTGTTATCAAGTATAATATTCTAAGAATATTTCTATAAATCAACATTGTATTCATGTTTTTATAATAAATATAAATATAGATAAATATAGATAGATTACACTAACAAAACAAACAAACAAACAAAAAAACTCTGTTTACTTTCCTGTGTCTGAGAAGACGCGTAAGCTTTGATTTGCAGCGATCATATGCAATAGACTCATAATAAAAGAATACTTGACGCAATTTGATCAACAATAGAATTAAACGAAAAATATTTTCTAATAAAATAATTCAAATGTCATAGCCATCAATATCCGATTGTTTATATCAAGAAACCACATCTCAATAAATCTAAATTATATTATAAACAAATTGGAGAAAATTTCTAATCGATGCTGGCAGAGAATTATAGAAGTTGATGAAAATCGATACCCAGAACGCAACTATATAAAGACTTTCCTTTCTTGTGCTTTATCCATCAAAATTTCCCATAGTGCTATATTATCTACACTAGACATGGGTTTGAAAGGAAAGTTGATTTCACAAATAGAGATCAAAGGTTGTGGGGATCTCTTTCATGAAATGTTTAGGCACAAACCACACCATCTTCCCAATGTGACTCCACATAAAATTCAAGCTGTCGATTTGCATCAAGGAGATTGGGGTACTGTAGGCTCCATCGTTAACTGGAATTATACTATCGGTAACATTTTCTAATCACTTATTTTTATTTTTATAAAGTAAGTTTTCAATTTTGATTAGCTTTTCTCCTGATATACCATTGTCCTTATGTCTATAAAATAAAGTAATATTCTCTAGGTTCATATAAACTACATCACTTCTTAGTATTGTATACATTCTTTTTAATTTACACTTCACTAACCGAGATTCTAGGATTCTAAGTATGCAGAGAGAGAGAGAGAGAGAGAGACAAATATGTGAGATATTATTCGCCATCTAAGCATACAAAAGAAACGATAATTTTACTTCTTTTTGGGCCTTTAATAGAGATTTATGGGTACTCCGTTAAAAAAAGCCTTGGGTTTATTTTGAAAGTATGCTCTTAGCAATCGTCAGGTTCTTAAGATATCATCAGGATTTCTTGGTAAAATTCCTGGTGATCACCATAAAATACTGATGGTGATCATCAGGATATTGTCATAAATTCTTACCGATCACCAGAATTTTTCGCCATTATGGCTGTAAATTTTGGTAATCGTCAGGACTTCTGGTGCTTTACGTTAACATATTTGGCCAAGTCATGGTGATTGCCATAACATGCCTTTGGTGATCGATTTGTGCAAACCTGACTGAATTTTCAGCCACAATGGCTAAAAGTTTTTCTTAATAGGATCAAAATATAAAGGATGGTCCTAAATATATACATCAAGCGTAATTTCCTCTTTAATTATTTATGGCCTCGACTATGTTCATATATAAGTTTCTTTTTCTGGCACAAAAAATAGAGGGGCAAGAGAAGGTAGTGAAAGTGGTTGTTGAAGCCATAGAGGAGGAGAAAAGGCTAGTGACATTCAAGGCATTTGAAGGTCATATAATAGAGCAATACAAGGCCTTCAAAGCAACAGTTCATATTGAGAATGAAGGAGAAAACAACTTGGTCTTATGGACTATTGAGTACGAGAAGCAGAATGATGACGTTTCAGAACCCTTCTCTTATTTGGAATTTGCCACTAATCTCACCAAAGATGTTGATGCCCACCATGTCAACCAGCAGGTTGACGTATAATTAATTTTCTTTAATTTCTGGTGAATAAGGGGAGTTCAACAATTTAAGTGGTTGTGCTTGTTGATGTTTGTGTTTCTCATAAAGATGTTTGATTTGTTGTGTTTCTTGTTAAGATATTTCCTTCGTTCTGTCTTTGAGAAATAATTATTGTATATGTATCTTTTTATGAGGAAGGAATTATATTCGTATGATTTGATTTTGTGAATTGATTAACTCTGAATCTTCATCCTCGTCAATTTTGATTAGACTTTACGTGATTTACAAGTATAATTAATAACGTCGATTAACAATAAATTATCGATGATATTCCCATGGCGACAAAACTATCAGAATACAGCTTGTTGAAAAAAAACATTCGACAGGAAAAAGGTGTCTGTCAGAAGTTTCCAATGGATTTTTCGAAGGAGTTTTGTGTAAGATTGAGTTTGTGAGTTTTTGAATATTTCTTCAGTCACATGCTGGTAACATTCCCCAACAAATATTCGTTAATTTTGTTCCGTCAAAATATTGTTACGATTTTTAGAGATTTCGAAAGGCACTTCTGCCAAAAATTATACGGTTTTCGACGACCAGGCCCAGCCATCAAAAATCTCATTTCTAAAAATCATTGTTAATATTTCCAACAGCCATAAAAAATGCACTGGAATGCAAAGCTCACTTTATGGCTACTCCGAACATAAACCAAAGACAACCCAGCCTCCAAATATCACTAAAAACCACCATCATAAAACCACAAATAACCGGTAAATCACAAATTACAAACGAACAATCATAAAATGGAATTTAGTGCAAATGTTCAAACATCAAAACAATAAAATGCTTAAGTAATAGCATTAGTCAATTCATCAATACATTAACACTAGACCAAAACTAGTACATTGTCACCAATAAGGTGAAAAGAATTCAAGCTTGCATGGTTAAAACATGCCTAATTGTAGCGAGATATGCTTCAGCCATCGATGACAATCTAGATCAACTTTATACCCAGATAATTGTTTAGGTTCAAGTAAGTTTCTTTTCTTCCTTGGATTGCTCGGGAGCTAATTGTATTACTAAAGTAACATACAAGCATTGGGACACAAGAATTGCTACATGACCATTGAAGAAGTGAGAGAAAGAGAGAGAGGTGCTCTTTTTCCTTGAACCTGTGAGGTTAGTAAGCGTGGTAGTGGATTCTCTGGGGAATTTTAATGGATGATCATCTATAAGTGCACACATTTGCTGCTGCAAGTTACTGATTTTTATCTGGTTTGTTTTTGGGGCTGCGATAATGAAAACCTATTTTTCGGGTTCCAAGAAAAGCAAGTTCACGTGAAATCCTTTTCGTGACCAAATAAAGGCCTTTTGTTGAACAAATTTCATGTGAATGAATCAGTATGAACCAAGCTGGTAAATAAGAGTGTATGGTGGGTGTAACTGGTGTTTTCTCCCAAATTTAACTATATATAATTGTACAAAACTTGTCAATGGCAAAATAAAGAATCTTAAACTAGATGAACAAACAAAAAATAGACTACGCGATGGTTACACTACTATTACAGGCAAGCTTATATTAAATTACATCAAACTAAGAGGTAGGCAGATGACAACTCCTACCAGTATTGATTTCAATCTCCACTTGGCATCAATTGAATAAATATGGCCGCCAAATAGTGGTATTATGAAGCTTTCTTTTAACTCGTGTAAGTTGACTGCATAAATGTAGCAATAGGGAGCCAGGTACCACAATCACATGTACAAGCAGTACGGTCTGCCCTTCTGAGACGATTTTCCACAATTGAATTCATGGCCGGATATCTTGAAATATTCTTATGATCAACTCACCTGTTCGCCAATCAAATCAAGACCGACAACAAGGAAAGTAAACCCTTGAAACAATAGGAAATAGAAGTGAATGCCTTGAGCAGATAACAAGCTTCTGACAGAGGCCGTTAATAATATCAATGCAAGAGCAAGCTCCTTTCTATATAAACGGTTTCTCTTCCTCTTTCCCTTTTTCTTGGTCATCTCTAATTTGGTAAGCTCAGCAAGGCCTGATTCTGACGAGGATCTTGAGACAGTACTCTTCTCCACCAAAGGTTCAGATTCATTTTCCACCATTGAAACTAAATCAGCTTCTGATGATCTTCCCAACTTTTTCGTAACAATCCACTCGTAAGAACTTCCTAACTGGAAAAGCCCTGATATCATGGCATTGAATTTGGTCACAGACATTGTGTTTTCAAATAAAAGGTAGGGTACAATAAAAGGGAATGACTGTGGAGCTGGAAGAATATTCAGGATGGACATAAGTCCAGGCACATAGCAGACGACCCAAGCTGGTAACTGAGCTTCTGGGAGGAACATGGTGAGTGGGAGAATGATACAAAAGAGAGTAAATGAATAAAATGGTAGGATGAGCTTCCGCAAGAGGAAAAAAAGGAATATTAGATTGGCTTTCTTGAACCAACTAACCTGAAATGACAGCCATATACAATAATCACCACTTGAAAAGATATAAATGATCTTTAAACTTGTAAAAGAAATAAATTGTGTATCTATAAAGCATTTAAGGATTCATTTAAATATTCAAATTGAAATGATACAGTGAGGAAATGATAACTTGATTAGAAGGAAGGCCACATAATTTACTTGTTACGAGATAATCAGAAGGGGGTAACTAGAATATTTTCCCTTCGGCATAAAAACGTTATGATAACCTTTCTTCAGGTCAGAGTAACTTTAACAACCATGACCACACAATTTTTCCCCAAAAGTAACTGATGTAAGAGTCCTCAAAATCGGAAGCAGGAGCCTAGGGTACGGAAATATATGGAAGAAAGGGGGTGGCTGGAAGAGTACGAATTTGAGGAAATAAAAGAAAAGTATGTGGTCTTACAGCTCAAGTGGTAGATATGCCCAAAGCGAAGATGTCAGAGGGAATACAACCCGGAAAGTTCCTCTGTTCTTTCCTATTGGCCTTTAAGCAAGCACATAGAGGAAATAAAATGTCCGGATTTTTGAAGAGCTTGCCCTACCAAAGTACAAAGAAAAGAAGCCAACACTTGAAAAACGACAGGAACTACCCATTTGCAGGTATTCCAAAATTTTCTGCAACACTCAGCCAAAAAATATCATATTTGCTCATCAAGTCTGATGTGGAAGGAGGGGATACCAAAAAGAAGGAAGGAGGGGTTACCAAAAAGAAGGAAGGAGGGAGGACAGACATAGAGAAAGCATGCCCATTATCCATGCATATACTTTTATGGTGATAAGATGAAGCTTAGCAAAGAAGCGACAATAAACTTGGGCAATTTCAGGTCAATAATAAGATGAATGACATAAGGACTACCCATGCGAAAATAGTAAGAACCTTTCCACTGTTTTCTTTTTTCTTTAGACCAGCGGTGGGTTCGGAAAATAAATGAGGATGGATTTGGCATTTAACAGAGAGTGTGGATATAAGTTCATTTGCTTTTCTCTTCTCAAGTATTTAGGTTTACTATGCTCGTGGTTGAAAAACAAATTCATGTAAACTAATGTTAAATGAGCGAACTTGGGCCTTTCGGACTTAACATAACCACAAGATGAGTGGCATATAAATAAGGATGTTGAAATGGATGTGTAATTATAAGATTAAACAGAATTAGAAAGAGAAAAGACATAAGTTGCCCATCAAACTTGTCCGAAAAAATCATTTACAGGGCTTAACTTTACGGGCGACCTATGTCCCCCTTATTTTTGTTTGAGGTGAATTTAATACCACCCTAAATGGTGACGTGGCAAAGGCAGTAGTTTCACTCTCCCAAACTCGCGTGTAAGAGGGGAAAAGATTAAAATTAGATACATATTTTTACTGTGTCCGTCCCTTTTTCTTTTATACTACTTCTTTCTTATTTTATTCTCTTTTTTGTTTTCTCTCTCTACCTTTTCTTCTTCTCTTTACCATCATTTCTCTTTTCCCACCCAAGACACCACCGTATCTCCGCCATACACCATTGTATCTGCCACCATCCCCTCTTCCTTTTTTTCTTTTTTCTTCTTTTTCTCTTCTACTTTTTCTTTACCCGAGTAGAAGTACTCTCCACCACCTTTCAGCAATAGCAGTACAACCTGTACTTCCCACACCCATATATAGCCATATTGATTCCATTCACCAACTTCTCCTAGCTACAAAAATCCTTTGTTTATGATTTATTTATTGTAATATTTCGTTGAACAAAATTAAATAAATGGTTTAGTCTGGCCTCTTGAAAAGATTGTTGTGTTTTTTTTCTTAAAAGAGTAATAGTGCAGATGCTGAAATCATTAGCTAACTTTATGTTTGCTTGTACCATGATTCTTGTATTTCACTTTATTTGAGTTGAATTCCAGATGATACATATTAGTTTACTTGGCGTCAAGTTATGAGCTTGAGATTTTTGTAAAATATTTCCAACTAAAGGGTCTTTTGAAAGAGGGAAGAGCATAGAATGGCCTAAGGATCAATAGCTCACTTTGAAGCCATTGATAATTACAGTTTATTGAAATTTGAAAGTGCTTTTCTGTTTGAACATAAATTTTGCCGAAGCTTGAGGGTTTTTAATTGGTTGAAAAGTTGGGTTTTCCGGCATCAATTTTCCGACGACGAGTTTTTCCCCTACTTTTTAAAGCTGAAAATGATGGATCTTCCATGGTGGTGTAGGTGGTTGAAGATGATATGAAAAAAGATTTGAAAAAGTAACGAAATAAGTGAAAATAAAATAAAATAAAGCAGCTTTTGACACGTGGCGCGTGTGTAATACACAGCCCACCACAAGACTGATTATGTGTTATCAAGGGGGTATTAAATTCACCTAAAACAAAAATAAGGGGGACATAGGTCGCCCGTAAAGTTAAGGTGTGTAAATGATTTTTTTCAGACAAGTTTGATGGGCAACTTATGTCTTTTCTCAATTAGAAATCAGCACATTTGACAGAGGGTGCAACATACATAATTACATTAAGGATAAAATGAAATAAGGTCGTCTGAAATAGTTTGATCATGTCCTACGTCAAAACTATGATGACGATGCTAAAGGGGACTGCTGGAGGAAAATCATCTCGAAAGAAATGTTTTTAAAAGCGAAAATCACAAAAAACAGCAAGGACATGAGGTTTTTAGCAAAAAGAAAGATGCAAAGCACACATTTCTTGAAAGTGAAGTGAAATTTTTTGATAACATTGCTCAAAAGAATTACACTCTCA